TATATATAATTAGTGGCGAAATTTAAAAGTGATCATGGTTTGGGCTGCACACACCTGCACTTGTCATATATATTGCTTAGCCCCTGAGTTTGTGAAAGCAACTCGCCAAGAACCATAGTGCGCTTGCTTCTACTCCACAAATGGCCATCATATATAGGATTACATGCCTTCCTTGTTTTCTTTTTTAGATCTAATTAAAGTCAATCAAAAGACGACAATAGCATAAAGCTTTTTCTTCCCCCTCAGCTCCCAAAATATATACATATAATATAGTATATTAATTATGGGGCACGCTAATCTTGGCCCTAATTAACCCCTGGTTTATAATTACACGCACCACGCATGCCTTGTTGAGGATTTTTATTCGAGGTCAAAACCTCGGAGGATCACTTTGCTCTCGGACTAGGCTTTATAATTCTTTAATGGCTATTTACAAAAGAGGCGCGAAAGCTTCGAGGCTAAGTGAGTAAAAGGAGTGATATACTTGGCATGATACTGATCGGAATTATTACGGGCGGTGCCTTGCGAACCAGGTAGGTCCTTTTTTTTTTTGCCAGCTAGGTAGGTAGTTCTGATTTTACCTAACTTCATAATTTTGTTCATTATTATGTCACTCTAATTAACGAAACTTATCCCGATAAATTAAAGCTGCATGGCTGCTGAGTGCTGACTCACCCTTCCCCCCGAGAGAAATCCGAGACGAAGCAGAAGACAGGGTTGTAGCTGACTGTAAACTGAAATGGAATGAGCAATGTGGGCCTGTGGTTGGTCATTTTGAAATGGGCTTGTGAATGACTAAGGCCCAACTAACGACTTCCTCCGCGAAAAATTCGTTAGAACTGAGGGTTGAAGGCCCATGAAAGTTGTGGTGGGGCCCAAGGAATGGCCCAATTTCGGAAAGAAGAAGAAGAGTAAGAGGCAATTGGTATCAGGGATTTTATTATTGAATATATAGCTCTTCTATGTTGCAAAAAAAAATTGCATCACATCACTTGAGTGTGTGGGGGGAAGAGAGAGTGAAAGCATTAGATCAGAGGCTGGTTTTCTGGTTGACATGAAGGAGTTTTGTGTGGCCTGAATTGTGGAGAGAGAGGGGTGATGAAGAGAGGTCAATAAGGGTGGATTACGTACAAAGAGACAGGTGTCGAAAAGTCAAAGCATGAGCTGAAATGTCGGAAAGACGGAGTTGATGAGTGTAATTAATGAAGACATCAAATGGAAGGGGAGAGAGATTTCGTGTGGGAAAAAGCAGGGCAGGGAGCAGTATTTAAATATAATAAAAAGAGGAGGGGGGTTGAATGGCCATTTTCACGTCGGAGGCTAAGAGTATGTGCTAAGCCCACACGTCCATGCCTGCCCATTTACTTCACCCCTTTCTTCAACTGCCCTCCCTTTTTGTTGTTAGTTGCCGGTTAGCATCCATCCCCATTGCTCTTATTCATCTAATTTAATGCTCATCTCAATGGTATTTAACATTCAACTCCTTCTCTCTCAACTATAATCCCCACCCAGAACTTTAGTTCAATTGGTCATACAAAATCTATAAACTAGCAACTGCTGTTTGGGATGTTAAGCGATTTCATTTTCAAAAAGAGCAGAATATAAATTCGAATCTCAAAAAGTTTATTTATAGAAGGATTTTAATCTTAACACTTTCAGCCCGACAGATACTAATCTCAAGCCAAAAATAACTTGAGGATGCTCTGAGTTAAAAAAAAGAAGAAGAGATTCTATGAACTAACAGCAAGACAGACCAAACTCGAAAAACCCTGGCCTAAGATATATATAAATAATTAAGATTGCTTAAACATGAAATATTAAGTTTGTATAAAAGATGAATACCCATTTAAGAGAGTTATTTTCAATTGAGCCTAACGCGAGAAAGCTACTCCCTCCGTTCCGTATTATAAGAGACATTTGATGCTTATGGCATGTTCTTATATATAAGAGACACTTACAAGTTGTCTCTACTTTTTTGTGTTAATTTACTATTTTACCCATATTTATTATCTCCAACTCACACTCTCTCTCCCTCTCACTTCTCTTTCTTTTAATAATTTAATTGTTCTCTCTCATGCTCTCTCTCCTTATTAATGAGGGCATTTTTGAAAAAAAAAATTATACTTTTTACACATTAATTGTTCTTAACTAATTTTAATTGTTTTTTTGATCAACGTACTTCGGTTATTTGTCTCTTATAATAAGGAACGGAGGGAGTATTGTCCATTGCCGGCGTGATGAAAAGCATTGAAATAAACATAAAATTTTAGTTTCTGAAAATCGATATAAATTAAAACTTGGAACGCATCACGACGGGAAACTTTCGGGAAACTAATGTGTCGCGATTTTAGTTCAAAAATTTTATGATCTGCAGAAGTGGAAGAACAAATTAAAAATAATTTTTTTAATATAATGCAAATATGATAGCATTAATTAATTATGCCTCGATCCGCAACTATATGTTGGGTGTCGAGAGATCAAATTCAAAATCACATGCATGCACCGCCACAAATTTGTAAAACGTGGAGTCTTACAGTGCAAGAAAAACAAGAATAAATCATTTAGTTTTTGGGTAAGGAACGTTTCTTTTCTTGTCCCAAAAGTTTTTTACAGGGCCCTCCTATGAATACACACACATCAAAGAACAACTTCGTAAATGATATCTCGAAAGAAAGTGACCCTTTCCAAATCGCATCCTTCGATTACATAAGAAATTTTTTTGGTTTTTCTAATTTCCGAAAGAAAAAAGATGCATAATCTCTCTTGTTTTAATTATAAAAATCTGAATTTAAAAAGATGCAGACAAAAATACTTTTTTTGGGGGGGGGGGGGGAATAACAACACGTGGTAGGCTGATAGCTGCACAGCGATAATACAGTAGCATGTGTATTTATTTAGTTTTTGGGGTATCTTTGAAAAGTAACTTGCCGAACCAGAATTATTCGACCAATTAAGGAGGTGGTAGTCACACGCGGGCAAACTTTTGTATATTACATATCATAGACTTTTCATTAGTTACTTTCAATATTTTTATCGCAATCGAAGAAAAGATCAGAACTTGGTAACTTTGTCTATAAAAATTAGCAAAGTTCCAATGTCATTCTTATTGAACCCGTCATTTGGAAAGTCAAAGAGCCGAATTTAGAAGTATAAATTAAACCAATATTTGAATAAGAGCATTATGAGAAAAATGCAATGAATATTCATATATAAAAATGATAAAAAAATCTCTCCTCCAAATGCTTCGTAAGAAAAAAAAAGAGAGAGGCGAAAATGGGTATAGACATCCAGATACTCAATCCATGTGATTATATATCTAACGTTCATTTAATTACAAATAACTGTCCTAATTGCTTTCCTTACATTCTATGAATTATTCAGAAGAATCTTGCGTTTAAGATGGGAGGAAACACTTCTTGTCCAGGATTTCGCCTGAAATTTTCTAAGAAGGTGACAAGTTGAACTGAAATTGACATTTAATGAATGAAATTACAGTTTCAGCTATGAATCAATGTTAGGCAAGAGGCACGTACGGAACTGGTAATGAATGATGATTACCACACGGGAAGAGCAAATTATCTAGAATGATAAAGAAGCATGGCAATTAGTATCACCATTGTGTCAAATATATATATTAATATATATTTTTTGGGAATAAAAATGCAAAACAGCAGATCGAGTACATGTCAGTTGGGTGTGAAAGAAGAGGGGAGAGGGCGACCCTCAACCCCCCGCGGGCTCCTAATAAATCAGAGTGGTTGTCTGTTAAATGGATCATTCTAGAAGACCCTGCCATGAATCAGCATTTAAAATTATTTCTATCTCTCTCTCTCTCTGTTTTTTTTTTTTTAAAACAAAGTCGGCTTGCAAAATAGTACTGTTTGGCCATATCTTGTTTTTTTTTTTTTTTTGGTTTTATGGCAAAGATTTGGAATCGTTGGAAAACATGACGAGGTGGGGCTGAAAACGTATGTGTTCGTACGTGTAGTGGAAATAACGTGATAATGAATAACCGGTAGGGGTGAGGCGCGTGGGCCTTAGCGATTTTTGGTGTTACAGTGTTAGACGACGATATGATTTTGCTCGCTTTTTAATGTGACGAGGTGAAATTACGAGCAGGTTTATATACTTTGCATCCACGTAGGGTGAGTTTTGATGAGAAGATGAGTGTGGAACGGACAATAATGGAAGTGAGTGAGGGAGAGACAGTTGAAGGCTGAAGGGGACATTAATTAATTGATTCCGATGACACAGTAGCTGTAGGGTGAGGTGGTAAGTTGCCTATATATTCCAAGCCTCTCCTCCCCCCCATTTCCTCAGTTCATTCTAATCGATCTCCTCCCTCCCAGAATGCAGCTCTCTCAGCTCCTTCCTTTCTTGGCTCTCCTCTCTGTCCGTAACCATATCTTCTCTTCTCTTCCATATTACTATGCTACGTATATGCATGCCTGTCCCTGCTTCTTCTTTCTAACTACTTTTCATGTTCATGTTATGTTATCGCAGGTCGGGGTGGTGGCCACCCGTGCCGCCTTACCTCCTCAGCTTTATTGGCAGTCTGTGCTCCCCTCCACTCCCATCCCCTCTTCCATCTCTCATCTCCTCCCCTCTTCTACTGGTCTCTCCCTCCCTTCTCTTACTTATTTCTCACACACACACACACGCATGCACATCAAATCCATTCCCCGCTCCCACTGTTTTCGCTCCGTACATCATGACATGTCATTTTAACATCCTATATATTCAGTTCTTCATCATACATGCATATATTCGACAACCGATGAATAGATTAGTCTGGTATCTCGACTCTTGTTCTCATCTACTTCTCTTTCAATTTTACTGAGTTTTTCATCATACAAATCCTTAAATTCATTAGTCTTCGTGTTAAAACACCACAGGAACCATCTTCTCCCTCATTGTTACTTTCATGCACCGCATCATTACATGATACTCTACTTATGTATGTAGGGAACAAATTCTAAGTATGCTCCCATAGAAAAGAGGGCAGAAATTGAGCAAAATGTCTCGATTACTCCTTCCCAGTTGAGTGGTTGGAATCAATTAATATGCATGGCCCTCCACATGTGTGTGTGTATCTACAGGACCGCGCTGTCTTCCTAACTTTTTCAGTTATTAATAATCTTAGAGATCCTTCATTTAATCCCCATGGAAAAAGAAATCTTGTGTTTGTGTATCCTTGCTTCTCCTCTGTACTGCTTCACCCCATCCATCCACCTTAATAGACTGCATCTTCCAAATCTTTACGTTCCTAACAATTTTTACTTAGGATCTTGGTCTCCAATAAGATTCTGACAAAAAAAATTAATTTGAAACGTGCAGATTGGAAAGAAGACAAAGGCACATCGGTGGCCGTGGGGAAGGGCGGCGTCCATGTCGATGCCGCAAAAGGAAAGCCCGGAGGCACCAACGTTAATGTCGGCAAGGGCGGAGTAAACGTAGACGCCGGCAAGGGAAAGCCTGGAGGCACCAACGTTAACGTCGGCAAGGGCGGAGTCAACGTAGACGCTGGTAGGGGAAAACCAGGCGGCGGCACTACTGTCAACGTCGGTGGCAAAGGCGGAGGCGTTAACGTCAACACCCCCCACAAGGGAAAGCCCGTCCACGTTGCTGTCGGCAAATCTCCGTTCGTTTATAATTACGCCGCCACTGAGACCCAACTCCATGACGACCCCAACGTGGCCCTGTTCTTCATGGAAAAGGACTTAAAAGCCGGTCACAAAATGAACCTCCACTTCACCCGGAGCTCCGACCAAGCTTCCTTCCTCCCTCGCGAACAAGCAAATTCCATTCCCTTTTCTTCGGCCAAGGTAACACACCTTCACACAAGGCTGCCCCTGTTTGTACTTCTATTTATCTACATATATTCATAATATTTTCCCCCTTTGTTTTCTACAGTTCGGCGATATATTGAACAGGTTTGATATAAAGCCTGAATCTGAAGATGCGCAACTTATGAAGAACACGCTAACGGAGTGTGAGGAAGCAGGAATAAAAGGAGAGGAGAAGTATTGTGCGACGTCGTTGGAGTCGATGGTTGATTTCACGACATCGAAGCTGGGGAACAAGGTGGACGCCGTGTCCACAGAGGCGGTGAAGGACACGCGCATGCAGGAGTACACAATAGCGCCGGGAGTGAAGAAGGTGGGAGAGAACGAGGCGGTGGCGTGCCACCGGCAGGAGTACCCATACGCCGTGTTTTACTGTCACAAATCGGAGACGACAAGGGCCTACAGGGTGCCGCTGGAGGGAGCCGATGGGGTGAGAGTGAAAGCCGTGGCCGTTTGCCACACCGACACGTCGCAGTGGAACCCTAAGCATTTGGCCTTCCAAGTGCTGAAAGTGGAGCCTGGCACAGTGCCCGTCTGCCACTTCCTCCCTCAGGATCATCTTGTTTGGGTTCCCAGACACTCCTGAATACTCTCATCATTTCATAATTAGCAGTTCCGGTCTTATGGAACTCAATCTTGATATATATACATATATATGATAGTATGTTTTTATCATATAATAATAATACACCCTATTATATATATATATATATATATATATATTATGTTTAGTCACATAATGCACGCACACTTGGATCATCGTATCAGGCTTGTATGTAAATTTGCATATGATGCATATGTACTACGTTCTGATTATAGTGGCGAGGTTCTCAGTTTGTCCCATTTGCTTTGCCGGATCTAACCTACGCGTGATCATCAAAAGGATTTTAGGAAAGTGTTTTTTTTTTTGGGGGGGACTTTATAGTAATTAATTAGGAAGATGGTTAACATCGGAATCATGTTACAAAGTGTACGACTTGAACGGGTGCATCACTGCTTTGATGTATAAGGTTGATCTTGCTCAAGTGACAAAAGAGACAACACTGGCCGCATCTCTAATATAATAACCAAGTTATTATGTATATTAACTCGGGAAACTATCACCATTCTTTTTGGCTTCTATGCTTATATTATCTTGCTTTCTTCTTAAATTATGTTACACTTATTAGTCTATATTTTTTCCAAAATATTTTTTTGTGTGAGATGAATATAAAAGATAACATTATGAACAAAAATATAAAAACTAATTGACTAATTTGAATATATTTTAAAAACTAATTAAATTAATTATTTATTTGTTAATCATTAAACTAGTTCTTATATTTACAGCTTCAAACTAGTTCTTATATTAAGGGTCTAGCTATCAATAATCCATAGACTAACATATGAATACTGGGGGAAAAAAATAAAGCCCAAAGCAGAGTTATTGTTCGGACTTGTGATGCATGGACATGGTTCATACGTATAATTGCAATTAATTATCGGTTTCTATGAGTGGGTAATGAGACGTAATCAAGAGGCAAGCGGAACCAAGCGGATGAATTTGAAGCCTTGAGAAGCCGAACATGGGCAAAAATAATAAATGGGTACATTGACTTGAGGGTTGTGTGATGAGAACTCAAACTCAGACAAGGAATGGGAGCGTGGCTTGTAATATTACGGGTTTGTAGGCTTTGAAGTCATTCTGAAACAAAGGGGGCCTGAGTTTCGGGATTGGATCAAAAAATATTGAGAGGGCCAGCCCCAACCAAATCTCAATTCCTGTCACTATATGCCTCTGGATTTGCCAAGAGATGATCTTTCTCTTTCACAGCGCCATCTCACCGTATTCTTAGAGTTTCGACGTAGTGGCCCCTGAGCTGACATGAAGTTTCGACGTCTGAATAATGAACCACTAAATTACTGTCATCCGAGCAAACTAATGGGTAAAAAATTGGAGATGATACTGGAGAGCTCAGGGAAAGCGCCATCAAAAAGGACCAACGAGCAGCCATCTTCGACCTGATCTCCGCTGGGTTCTGTGGTCACAGGAACTTGCTGGAGCTTTGCGTTCGCCATTTGCCCTGACTTCACAATAGCAGCACGCAGCGAGTCATTTCAAACACCTTCTCATTCCTACTAGGAGTTAATTGGGTAAAAAATTGAAAAAAAAACTGTTGAAATTTTAGGCATATTTTTTAAACGCATGTTATATATAGAATTATGTCCACCTAAAAACTAAATCTTATTTATAGAATTGGAGATGGTAATAATATATTGAATTCAACATGTGCGTGGAATGCGATGAAAATAAAAAAAAACAATTAAATAAATGAAAAATAAGGAACAAACAAATTATGCAGTGGCAATGAAAAAATAAAGACGTTCAGCAACAGAAATGGTTGGAACGAATTTCAATACTTATCACAGGGATAATCATCATGATAACTATTACTGTGGTAAACTCTAAGCCATTCAGATTTAGTTTTAACTGGGTGGGTTTAAAACCTTCAACTAATGATTTTTAAATAAAAAATTATTTTTAAAAAACTTTACAGTTAAAAGATTACATTTTATTTTGGATTATGTACCTATTAAAAGATAAAATTTTAAAAATATTAAATATTAGATATTAAATTTCGTTCCTCCCTGAATGTTAAGATTCTATGAGAATATAATGTTTGAAATATTGCTCATCACTGCAACGATCAAACGGAAGGAATTAGAGGCCCTGTAATGTCTGAAATACCTTCGTTTTATTTGTGAATTTGCCCAGCTAGGCCCACTCATGAGACGGTCTTTGCCACATCCATGTGACACGTGTTACTTCTTTCAAAACAGCAAATCTGCTTTTAGACACCCGCGGAAGTAAGGGAAAGGGTGAGTCTGGTTTAGGTGCTCGTCACCAGTACTCATGACTTGATAAGTAATCAGGAAATTTCAGATTTAATATTTTTAAATAATTATTTTAAAATAAAAAATATTTGTTAAAAAAATAACAATTAAAAATTATTTTTATTTTTTAATTCTATATCTATTAAAATAATTATTTTTAAAAAATAAAAATAAAAATAAATCTAGACTGTTCAGATCAAATCTAGAAAGTTTAGATCTGATGAGCACTAGATACTTATCAATCTATAAGAATGAGTTTTCTTGCTCAACGGGAGATGAGGACCGATAGCTCATCTTCCACTACACACCGTCTGTATAAAGTGAGAAGCAATTTTCTTTTCATTTAAAACTGAACACTCTTTTTTAATTAGCTAATCTCACTCATCATTTTTCCTCTCCATCTCATACTCCTGAATCGTAAATTTCTTCCTCACCTGTTTCAGACTTTCAGCCCCTCCACGGCCTCTAGCATTGACGGCCTCTTCTAGTCGTCGACCTCACACACTTTGAAAAGGTCTGAAATTCGACGCCTTATTTAATCACAAAGGATGGTAGAAAATCGAACACCTCATTCTTCAATCTGAAATTTTTTCTGCATTGAAATTTCAGCTTTTTTTCAATTTTCAATAGGAGAAAGTTAAAAACTCCTTTCTCTCCAAAGTTAGCGCCGGGTGTGTCAATTCTTGTCTCTCATGAGGGCTGAATGGTGCGACAAAAATTTTTCCTTGGAAAGTAGAAACACAGCAGAGACGACGTCGTTTGGTAATAAGTTTAAACACATCTCCTACTTGTTTAAATAAAACGATTTGCAGTGAGAGATGACTCATTAGTGCTCATCTCCCGTTGAGCAGGAAAACTGATTCTCACTAAATTGATAGGCAAATCTTTTTCTTGTAGACTTTATTCAATTACGGGAAGTTCTGGAAAAGCGTATTGAGCTCATGAGATGGCCTTTTACCACATCCATGTGACACGTGTTACTTCTTTCAAAATAGCAAATCTCCTTTTAGACACTCGTTGTCTCCATTATATTACTCCAATTAAAGGCCCACTAAATTGATAGGCTACCTAATTAATAATTGAGAGGTGTCATCTCAGATTTGATTAATCTTTTTCTTTGTAGACTTTATTCAATTGCGGGAAGTTCTGGAAAAGCATATTGAGCTCATTACTGGTATATATTTGCTCCCACACTCTCATCCGCCTCCTCTCATCATCATCGTTCCAAAATGAAGTTATCTCTCATTCCCTTGCTTACCTTGCTCATTGTAAGCTCCTAATCTTAATTCTTTTACTCCTCTCTCTGAAATCATCATGCGTATACTATATTTGATTATATGTTAAATTGATTGATCGGCAATCTGTCCTTCCCGCTACTCCCATGATTTCTTCCACTGCTAAGATCATCTCCTTCACTCAGCTTTTGGTCTCTCTCTCTCTCTCTCTTCTATATACATGTATCCTTTCCTGCTTATTTATTTCATACCCATTTGCAGGCATCCCTGTCTACAGAAGGAAAAGGCGCAGTAAACGTAGACGCGGGGAATGGCGGCGTCCCTGGGGATGCAGCAAAAGGAAAACATAAACCAGGTGGTGGCAGCACTGTCAATAATGTCGCCTGCGACGGCGAAGGGTTTTCCGTCCACGCACCCAACAAGGGAAAGCCCATCCGGGCCGACCCATTTCTATACAATTACGCTGCCTCTGAGACCCAACTCCGTCATGACCTCAACGTGGCTCTGTTCTTCTAGGAGGAGGACTTGAAACCCGGTCAAAGAATGAACCTTCACTTCACTCTCAGCTCCAGCAAGCCCTCCTTCCTTCCTCGTGAGCTCGCCAGTTCCATCCCCTTTTCTTCAGTCAAGGTAACACACCTTCGCCCTCCACTTCATGTAAACCTGGGCTTTTTTCAATCTATCTACGTATTCATAATTTTTTTTTCCTCTTGTCTTTTGTACAGTTCGACGATATACTGAACAGGTTTGATATAAAGCCTGAGTCTGAAGATGCGGAGGTCATGAAGAATACGCTAAAAGAGTGTGAGGAAGAAGGGATAAAAGGAGAGGAGAAGTATTGCGCGACGTCGTTGGAGTCGATGATTGATTTCACGACATCGAAGCTTGGGAGGAAGGTGGACGCTGTTTCTACAGAGGCGGTGAAGGAGACGCGCATGCAGGCGTACACTACAGCGGCCGGAGTGAAGAAGGTAGGGTAGGAGGCGGTGGTGGTGTGCCACAGGCAGGAGTACCCATACGCCGTGTTTTACTGTCACAAATCGGAGACGACGAGGGCCTACACGGTGCCGCTGGAGGGGGCCGACGGGATCAGAGTGAAAGCCGTGGCCGTTTGCCACACTGACACGTCCCAGTGGAACCCAAAGCATTTGGCCTTTCAGGTGCTTAAAGTTTCTCCTGGCACTGTTCCTGTCTGCCACTTCCTCCCTTCTCAGGATCACCTTGTTTGGGTTCCCAAACGCCTTGAAAAGTTGAAATGCTCTAGGGCTTCTCTCCCTCCCTACCTCCCTACATAAGCAGTACAAGTCACTACGTATCATCCATGTTTAAATAAGGCGTACATGCAGTTCCAATCTTGCGGAACTGATTGATCAATATTGATGTATAATATATATATATATATATATATATGTATGTTTTTCATCGCATATATATTCTGCATCGTACTCCTTCAGTTCTTTACGCAAGATCTATTTAACTAGTAGTAAGTTAGTTAATTATAAAAAATATGATATGTTTTTTCTATAATACTATAATAATTTTTTTTAATACTCTCCTTCTTACTTAATTATGATTGTGGGGTATCACAATAGATAATTTAAAAAAACTAATAATATAAAAAATATGTTTTACGAATGAAATCAAGTTAAAAATTAGACCCCACGTTAAGAAAAAGTGTATATATATTTGCTGGGTACGTGCACTTGTTCAGACTATCTGTGAGTAAATTTGCAT